TTCTTGAGTAAAGTTTGCTGGTACGCCGCAACTTAGGAATATCAACTGGAAGTTTCCTAAGTTTTTTATATACATAATCACTTTCTTCTTTGACAGTTATTTTTTCCTCTGCGTAAGGAACACCTAGACCATGGTTTGCTCCTTTAATACGCCAATCTTTACTCGTAGAAACATTAAATTCCTGACAAATACGCTCATATGCGGACCTATCATAATTATTATTTGTGGAATTCCACGCTCGATCCTGCGATAATGGAGCACTAATTTCTTTAAGTATACGTCTAATCTGATAGTACACGTGAAATGATATAACAGACTTATTTAGTTCAAATCCTGGGGAATAAAGAGATACACCACATCCTGTTGTAGCACACCATATGGCAAAGTTTAACTGATTCTGCCAAAACTGCATCGGATTGTGAAACCAATCGTGCACCATTTTATCGCTAGTTGCCGTGACCCTGTAATTTTCAAAGATATCGTGGAATTTAACAGTAAACTCAGCACCAGAGGCAGTTACTATAATCGATTGATTAGTAATGTATCTCGATTTCATATTTAAGTTATGATATAGTATCATTGTATATTTAATATGTATGTTACACTCCCGGGAAAAACAAATGGTCAGTCTATTGAACTGCTTCATACTATCGATAACTCAGATGGACAACTCGAAGTAGCTATCTGTGAACAGTGATGTAACGTATTACCCAGTGTGGACCAATATAAGTGCTGCAAAAAGAAATAATGAGATGTCTATATTAAGTGGAAACAGTGGTATTGAAAAAAACATTACTATACCTGATGGGTATTACAGCGTATGCTCACTCAATGATGAAATTTTTAAGCCTAATGGAATTAGTATCACACAAAATGAGTCGAATGGGACAGTGAAAATATACACTGGAGAAACAGGTATAATTATTGACGGGGACTTAGCAATTACACTTGGAATTGGACAGACAGTATTATTACCACCCAACAAAACAGTGAGTGTATATGCATTGCCCGATTTAGTTCCCTATAAAGAGTTGTGCATCCATCTTGATCAGATCAGTACGACGGATAATATTCAACTAGAAAGTCCTTCAACTCTGCTCAGATCTATTCCAGTGAAAGATGAAAAATACAATAGTGGTAGAACGGAATCTTTCTCACCATTACAATATAAAAAATTAAAGCGGGGTATTATTTCAGACCTCAAAATTTCTGTATTAGATGTAAAACACCAACCTGTACATATAGGATACTTAAGTGTAACACTCCATATTATAAACAATGGTTGATTCCATATTTAAGTTATGATATAGTATCATTGTATATTTAATATGTATGTTACACTCCCGGGAATAACAAATGGTCAGTCTATTGAACTGCTTCATACTATCGATAACTCGGATGGACAACTCGAAGTAGCTCTATGCAACGTAACGTATTACCCGCTGTGGACCAATATAAGTATTGCGAGAGATAATTATAGGTTCTTAATAAATAGAAAAGAACACTCTATACCTGATGGGTATTACAGCGTATGCTCACTCAATGATGAAATTTTTAAACCTTTGGGAGTTAGTCTCACACAAAATGAGTCAAATGGGATGCTGATTTTGAACACTGGAGAAAAGGAAGTAGGTATTGTCCTGTACTTAACAAAAACACTTGGATTTTTATTAGGAGAAAAAAAAATATTTATATTAATACTACCCAACCAAACACGGCATGGAGATAAATTACCCGATTTAGTTCCCTATAAAGAGTTGTGCATCCATCTTGATCAAATAAGCACGACGGATAATATTCAACTAGAAAGTCCTTCAACTCTACTCAGATGTGTTCCAGTGAAAAATGAAAAATACAATAGTAGCAGAACGGAATCTTTCTCATCATTACAATATAAAAAATTAAAGCGGGGTATTATTTCAGACCTCAAAATTTCTATATTAGATGTAAAACACCAACCTGTACATATAGGATACTTAAGTGTAACACTCCATTTTATAAACAATGGTTGATGCATCAGGCCCTGGAACGCACAGACAATGTAATACAACTGCGCTTTCCGATCTCGGAGACACAGAAGGATTCGGTAAACCCGGTACCAATGGTAAGTTATACGCTTTACACTTACACGATAATGTATACAAGCGGAAAGAAGTTACATTCACGGGTAATCTAGAAGATTTAAGCGATGTCGACGTTAGTAGGCTCATTAAAAACACTTCGTACAATATTATTCGCAACGACGATAATAAATGGACTATGGTCGACGCAAACATCGAGTGGCTACTGAATATCGTCATTACCCCACCTTATGCGATGATGGGTAAGGACCATAATTTAACTAAGATAATAAATAGTGGCATCGTACTCGCGGCTTATATCCCATCAAAACGAAAAAGTGTGTTAGTTACCCCCCTGCCAGAAAACCCAGGTCATATGTTATATAGTCGTCCAGCCTTAAAAAATGTTACTTTAAATTTGGTTACTGAATTCGATGATATTAAAGTTAACTTGAGTGCAATACCTAATATTTCCACGCTTATTATTGAAGTCTTGTTGGGAGATGTACCGGGAGATGCCTTCGAAATATTACCAGGTCTATCGATTAAATGGTTCAAGAAACATGAGCGTCAACGTTGCATTATTATTTATATCGGAGCATCGCCCGTTGCAACCCTCGAGGGGGTCCAAATTATTAAAAGTGACAGTATTTCTCTTACTAAGATATTCTTGCCGTATAATATACATTTGATAAGGTTGATGTATACTCTCAAAACATTTAAGCAAGACCAATTAAAGACTATTATATGATCGTAATATACACTTTGAGTTTATATCTGGCGCTCGATGAGGCGTTTGAAAAGATGGAAACTGTTGATGGATTTCGATTACATCAAATAAGCGACATAAAACATTGAATAGAGAAGGATAGGGAGTTGAGACTTGGATTGTATAAAAAGTATTGCAGAGCCTTGAATGCTCTCGACAGAGTTGACACCGCTCTTGTAGCAACTGGCATGGGACTCGGTGTAGCGGGTGTCGGTTTACTATCAACTATAATCGCCGCGCCTATCGTGCTCGGCATGGAAATAGCGTCTCGGGACTGGCAGGAATAGTGATAAAATTCATTTCTCGTAGGTTACAAAAGAAAGCATTAAAACACGATAGTATTCGGATACTCGCCGAAGCAAAGTTGAACAGCATTGAGGATCATATTTCGACAGCAATGGCTGATTGTAAGATATCCGAGGATGAGTTTCGTTTAGTGCTGTCAGAACTCACCAAATACAATGAAATGAAGCAGGAGATTCGATCGAAATCTCGTAAGACCAGTGGTATTAGCAAAGACGAGAATTTCATAGAACAGGGGAGGCAACAAGCGCGTCAGTTATTCCGTGCCAAAACCAAAGAACTGGTTGGAGATTAAAAATAGATTGCTTACTATCGTTTGATCACATTTAGACAAATGCTTACATAAATATATATAATAATGGAAATCGAAAAAACTATTAAATGGAGAGAATTACCACAAGGTTTTTATTATATCAGTGATGTCAAACCAACCAAATACGGTTATCAATTGTTTCTTATCAATTTACAAAAAGAGTGTAGTTATATAGTCTGGTCTCCTAGTAAAATGAACGAAGAACTTAATAAAAATGTTGAATATCGCTTTATTGATAAAAATAATAAAGAATATTGTTATTACCATTTAGGCTCATCTGAAGCAATGATTGGCTCCAGGTATTGGTGAGCTAGAGCCAATTTAACTTAATATCATGACTATCATTGAATCGCATAGTCATTTTGGCATAAAAAATTCCATCTGTAGTAGCAGTATAGGTAAATAAATCCAGCTCCAGTGGAGTTGCGGCAGAACCATCATTACCTATACTACTCATTGATCCCAATTGCGTGGATCGATGCTCATGATGTCAATCACTGGATTGTCTGGCCCAGACTCGATTATTTACAGACTGCTGTGCGGCGTTAAACAACAAACAAACAAAACAAACAAGCCTACATTCAAATCCATAATCAACAAAGACCCAGCAGCATGGTAGATCATATTTCAAAAGACTATGAACCATAATTATGCAATAACCTGAAGAAACAAGTTATACCCTTCTGAGGCCTAGTGGAGCAGCCACAGCCAATGAGAAGTGCTGCCATCAAACCTTCACCAGAACATTCATCACGCATCAAGAACATGCATTATGAACAGTAAAAGTTCTGATACAGTAACATGATAAATCCCTGCCTAGCCCCTGCAATAGCAGAAGGCACCACTTCAGCCACTGGTTAATATATGTACCAAGTTTTGATGGAAAATCTTTCATGGTTTTTAAGTTATGCTCCAGAATCAAAATACGGACGGACAGAGCAGATGATGACTAAATCCACCCACATTATATACCATGGGGATAAAAAGTCATGGGGCAACACCTTTCAGCATGATCAGGGCTCCACTTGTGAGCTATTGAGCATTTCATGGCATGTTATCATTCATACAGGGCACTGTTTGTTTTCTCTGGGCATTCTAGTCCAGTCTGTAGGTTATTTTGAAACCAATGAGTAGACCTTTTTGATAAATAACTATGCTTTAAATGCTGTGAGGGGAATTTGCATCTGTAACTGTGCTGACTCTGATGAGTTACATGTTGCATGAGCTCACAACACCAATACATGTCCATGTTACAATAAGTGAGGCATTCCTTGCAGTAGACTTCATGTATGCATAAAGCCTGCATTCAATCAGTAAATAAAGATCTGTAAAGACATATGGGTATGCAAGCTAGAAACATACACTGTTCCTATAGTACTGGACTTTTGAAAAAAAATTGTAACACAAAATTAATTCTTCCTTTTTTTTTTCTTTTTCCTCCAAGGCTGATTTACTGTTCCATTTAAAATACAATGGATGAAACTCAAAATTAATTTGGCTATGGTATTTTATTTTACAAAATTTGCAGATTATCTCATTGTGTCTGGACTCTGACCTTTATCAGTCTCTCATTTCTGACTGTGATCTCATCTAACGTGTGAGTTATAGGCGGAACGGTGCCCTTCTTGTCAACCTGCTGCCTGAGGAAAGCACCGGTCGAGTGCAGTAGAGACTCTCTTCTTGCAATGCTGTGAACAAAAAACATGTGGCATAATTTTCATGTTCAGTTAATCGTAACATGGTTGATATTTCCCATATTTAAAACCAACAGAGGTGGTGAATTCTATTTATCATTTCAACCTTATAGTTTTCCCCATTATCAGATTTATAGACAAATACACAGAAATTGCTGAAATCATGTGTAGAGATACATATAATCTTTGACAATGTGAAGCAAAACAAATAACTGATAAATTCTTTCGGGAAAATCTATTCACCAAGAAGTACATTCATGGAACTTTTTGATAAAAAAATGACTGAACGATGCGTTGTGGCATAGTCCAAACTGTGTGATGGTAATTACAACAACAACAATTCAAAAGATGTAGACATGATCAAAGGAATCCATATTGTTCCTTAGTTTGTATCAACATGTACCAGTTCACATACATGGATGTTAACTTGTATACTAGTGTCACTGGGGTATGACATACTTGTTTTATGTCATGCTATGTCATCGAAAAATGCTTTAGCTGAATGATAAAAAACATTTTTATTTCACTGTTGACATACACACATGAGCCAAAAGTATTTTCACAATCTGGCTGCTGTTTAGTGATTCCTCAGACTTCACTATTTGGAGATGTATTTATACATATTTTTATCAGAACTTTTTGCTTGGGTATAGTTTTGGGGTTAGCACATCATGTTCATGTGCACAATGGGACCGAGTGGTCAGACTCGCTGACTTGGTTGATGCATGTCATCGTATCCCAATTGCGTGGATTGATGCTCACGATGTCAATCGCTTGATTGATGTTGTTGTCTGGTCCAGACTTGATTATTTACAGTGAGTGAGTGAGTATGGTTTAACGCCGCTTTTAGCAATATCCCAGCAATATTACGGCGGGGGACACCAGAAATGGGCTTCAAACATTGTACCCATGTCGGGAATCAAACCCGGGTGTTCGGCGTGACGAGCGAATGCTTTAACCACTAGGCTACCCGACCGCCCCTGATTATTTACAGACCACCGTCATATAGCTGGAATATTGCTGAGTGCAGCGTTAAACAAAAAACAAAAATCATAAGCATAAAAAAATAGAGGAAATTATCCTCCTTTAATTCGTCTGCTTCATGAGGGCCCAAAAAGTATAAATGAATGAAGCAGGCTATACAGGAGAAATAATTCATTATCAACTTGTTAAATGACGTTTGAGGTCTGAAAAATGCAAAAATGTTGAGTGTTATCTTAACCACAGTGGAAAAATACCTAAAATACACAAGGTTGTTGAAAAACACACTCGAAGTGACAGATCCTGAAACAGTGCTGCTCGAACTCAATGTGGCATACATCCCTCTGGATGCCGAGGGTTTTTTTCTGACGCACATTTTCCTCAGATGGGAAAATTGAAGGTTGTGCGAGAATTGTGCTCACGCGGCACTGGATCTACCTCTGGCTATAAAATTACACAGAGATGGAGATTATTAAATTTCCTACCTGGTGGTGTAAATTTGACTGCAAATATTAAACCGGTTTTATATTAAACAAGAAATGACACTGCTAAGTGTTGTCCGAGAATTTATTCTGCGTTGAAAAACAGGAAATATCTCTGCTTTTTATTGTACACTGATAAAAGTACTGTGTGACGATTTTTATATTTTAGCAGCTTTACGGAAACTGTGATCGAACAAAATACTGCCTCATATCTGAACCACATAACTATATATCAAATGGAGTTATATGCGTATAACGACATACATTCAATGCAAAAAATAGCCTGCGGTAAATGATGAAAACTGATTTTTCTCTATGACGCCAAAAGGCAACAGAGTGGTTTCACGTGTAACCAAGTAAAGGGGGCATAACTCCGCTTTGCTTAGCACTAGTTTATTGTAACTCGGGTCACCTGGTGAGAATTAGCTGTGGGTAAGAACAATATATTTTCGTGGTGTTTTGTTCACGAGGAATCAAACTATTCCAACACAAATATCGATATTGAAACTGTATGTACATTTAGGCATGAAAAAAACCTTGAGAAATGATGAAATCGTACTTCATAATAAAAAGATGTAATAGAGAAATGGATGGCCCTATCTAACCTATTCATTAGTCTTTAGATTCCAACATTCTCCTGGTTGTGGAAGTGTGATTTGACTGACGTTGCACCATTATTAATGGAGCACTAGCCTTATCATCAAATATAATGAATTACTAAAAACATGACACCATTTTATTTGACGTCATTGCTGGTTTTATGTCTTTGACAACATCGGGGGAAAGACGACACAAGTATTTTGATTGATATATATTTCCCCTAATTTTCGTTCATGGTATGGAAAATATGGATGTGTAAATGGAATTTGACGCTTTTTCGACGCAACATAAAATGACTGCTTTTACCATTTGAATAATGTCTTGAATATATAAACAATTAGATAGTTTACCATGTATCTTAACAGGACAAGACACACACCTGTTTGGCATAAATTGGACATGTATTTGTTCATTATTATGTCATTATTACTCTTCACCTTGTCTCAGAATTATACAATAAAAGATGCAAAGAAAGCTCTATTGGTGTAGAATTATTAGGATAATCGTATAAGGTTCCACCAACAGGGTACATGGCACGGGTTATATTTTTATACTTTTTACACTACTTCGAGAAATAAAGTAAACAGTTTAATAACCTGTGGTCACAATATTTGAAAAAGGATGAACCCATTGATTATATAATGCAAAGCGAGATGAATAATTCGTATATCATTTGTGACTTACGCGCACCTGGTGAAGCATGAGATATCACTGTTCTGTATATCAAACGACATAAAAAAAAAAATCCAAGACCAAGATAATTTTCCTAGAAATGTGTGCATATGTTTTACCGAAATATTTCATCCATTTTGGAAAAGTAATATATTCAGTTTTAGTTATAAAACAAAATGAAACGGCTATTCATGGACATTGTTCATATGAACTTATAATATTGACTATTACACTCCCAAGAAATACGTACATGTTTCAGTTCTGAGGGGATTTCAGTAAGTTTTGCAACTTGGGCATTTGTGTTTACACAAACAATGTCAACTTGTGGCAGGTGTGACACTAGTCATAACATAAGGTCGACACGTGTTATAACAAGTTCCAGACACAACAATAAGCTAGATGTGATGGCTTCATTCACCTTAGGGTGGTCACAATCATTGATTCTCTCAAACATGAACAACGTTTTGTAATAAAGTTCCTTACCAAGGAGTGATGCAAAATAAAAAGAAATCCATATGTGAATGTGAATTAGAACAGGTAAATCACCCACCCTACAGCCCAGACTTAGCCCCCAGTGACTATTTCCTGTTCCGGCAAATGGAATCCGCCACACATGGTAGACGCTTCCAGGATGACGAGGACACAAAGGCTGCCACAGAGGTGTGGTTAGAGGGCCAATCTGCGGATTTCTATAAAAGTGGTAGTAAAAGCTTAAAGACAAATGGAATAAGTGTATTGAGGTGAATGGAGATTATATTGAAAAATAAAAGTGCATAAGATATTCCGTGACTTGGTCTTATATTGAAGTTGCAAAACTTATTGAACGCCCCTTGTACATTTACATTTACATATCATCTTCTAACACTCGTCCAAGGGAAAGGATTATCGTATACGACACAATAAACTTATCAATTTCTTACGTAAACAATGTTCAAACAAACACAAGATTATCAAAGGTTTGTACATATTGGGGCCTATATCTACGTATGATATCATATTGAACATTGACAAATATCCAAAGTGAAATTAATTGTGTGAAAAAATGTATAAAAGATATGCAAAATCTACATCATAACTGAAACTGTAAATAGCATGATACAATGATCGAGTCTGCTTTCATTCCACATGTTCAAGGACCTTCACCTCAAAGAAATTACCAAATATGTACAACAATGTTGACGTATGACATCACTACCGAACACTGACTTTTACAAAATGGCGTGTTCACTGTCAACAGTATGCAGGATTTTACGAGGAGACTTTCGTAGATTCAGGGATCAATATACATAAATGTGACATTTAAGTAATCAGAAACATTCTTAAAATCTGTGTACTGTTATTTATTGTTATATTTTTCATTGAAACCAACGGAAAAAGTCAGAAATTCTGATAACTACCATTGTCAATGTGCGTGATTTTGCGTCAGTCATGGCATCACACAGTACGGAATCTTTGACAATTTCTATTGAAAATATCAAATATTTGCGATGTATCTATTTTTAGTTCCCTAATTCTTGCTACGATTCTCTTCCCATGCATATTCTGAAAATGTTGAGCAAATGTATTCAACGATTAGATAAATGAATAGCTCAAAATATGAGAAAATGCTACACTGTGTAAAATCTGAATTTTGCTGTTTACATTTCAAACAAGTGCAGTTTTTTTAGCACAGCATTCGTTTTCACACCTAATTTATTTTGCTTGATTTCCTCTTTACACTTTGTAATGGTGACAAAGACCATTTGTCATTTGATTCTAAAATGTATGAAGAATTCAAGGATGTATGTATCTCAGCTGAGTTTCAAACATATGTATGTTATTGGCGTCTCATTACCAGCATACGTGAAACGTGATTATCTAAAAACTAACCAATGTGGCGGAAAGTTCACTTCAGTGTTCGCATTCGAAAACATTCTACACGATTCTAGGGTTATAGGCGACGTTTTGGAATGATCATTGCTGATTTGATCAAAGACAGATACCCATGATCACTAATAATGCTTTTAAATTCCTTTCTCCGAGTAAATATCTGAAATTTAGATTTCAAAACATGCTGTAAATAACGCTGTGAGTGGTGATTTAGTAATTAGGAAAAATTGGCGACATTTACAATGTACCTAATTTTCAGAGGACATTTTCAATAATTTTGCTTGGCCTAAAATGCCATTGGATGATATCACAGAACAGAGAATTTCCCACAGTATTCATAACTATGAAGCGGATCTGTGTGTGTGATGTATTTTGAATTGTATTCGACATCAAAGTGAGGGTTGATGACGAGGGACATATATGTTCCTCTGGCACCCAGGGGATATCCTGAAAGAGTGACTTTACGGATTAGGCAATAGGATAACAAAAGAAAAACTTTGAGTGGTAAGACTTCAGCCCGTATACCCCCTCAAAAATATACATGATTAAAAGGATTGAGCATAGCATATAACATTCGGAGGGGGATACGGACGGAAATCTTTCCCTTTGAGTGACACAAGTGATATCTTCCATGCACAGGCACCTGTTCAATTATCAACAGACGTTTTAGGTTTCACTGTTACAAAACAATTAAGAGACACAAAGAAGAAAATTTGCATATCCAGTATTATGCATCTGTTGTGTAGATCTTGCCTAGTGTAGACTGTGGATGGAATCCAGTAAAAACTCATCTTCAAGTGAAGTTCAGCCACACAAAAAATATCCTTACATTTCCTCATGTAGTCGGTTCAACTGCATTTCTCGCATGGTCCATTTTTCCACGCGTGAACCGTACGTATCTTCTGTCATAGGGGGCATGACGACTGGCTCATAAGTTTCACTCCATTTCCCTCCCGACAGCCCAGATTACATTTTATTTGTACGAAATATCCGTTGCCGACAACGCTTTCCCCTCAGTTACAGCTTCTAACAACAATTATGATTAAAAGAGATGAAGGTGTATTATGTATCAACAAACCTCTCCTAAAACGTAAGTATTATAAAACATATTCTTATAAAGTTTAGTGTTATGTTAATAACTAATCTAAATTAACAAATATTGACACATTTTGTTAAATATTATTAATAAAGGAGAATATTAGTAATAAGTATTTAGGAAAATAACTTGAACAATACAAGGGATACAACTCCATTTGTAAGACTGGTTCACCGATCATGACAAAAGCGCTACGAAAGCAGCGCGTATCAACAGTGGAACCAGTTTGTCCCAGATTCCCTGCGTTGTGTCGCTTCGATTTCTCGCCGAAGCTCCAAGCTCCTCACGGCGATAGCCCTCTACCGCTGCCACAAGTAACAGCGCCACTGTACATGTGTTATAATAGGCGTCGCGTCCACAATAATGAAGCTGCAAGCTCCTTCTCTGCGTGTGACACCTTCGTTACACGCTGCCACTGGTGTGCAAGCGGCCACTACAAGAATGTTGAAATTGTTTGAAAGGCAGTATATTTACTTTTTTTACTTTATTTTTCAGTACTTTTAGGCCACGGGCCTTTTTGTACAGACGAAATACAAATAAGGTGCAAACAGAATAAGATATAATACACATTTCTTTGTTTTTTTTAACAAAAGCAGTTTTAACATAATTGCACATTTTACATGTTGGAGTATTTGTGTTCTTACAGCATTGGTGTAAAACAAGTACTTTGCTGTATTCATATTGATAATAGGGTCTTGCGATGACAGTAGCTATAGTGTATTAAACTTCAGAATATTTGGAAAGATGTAAAATTTAGATTTTATGTAAATTTGCCTAAGATGACTGGCTATAAGCTGGACAAATTAACAAAAATTGATATTCATTTTCGATGTGGTTAAGTAACAAACTTTACATTTTCTAAATTCACGAGGAATATTATAATGTCGTCCACGTTCAATTTCTAAATTGTGAGAACTAAGCCGAAAACGAGTCAATGTGGTTCGGAATTTATTTACTGTAATACTACTCAAATAGTTCTCACATAAAATGGATGTTTTAAACGGTACATAATAAGCCATTTTGGGGCTTTCAGATAAATCACTATGCCAAACCTGAGAAAAGTTGTCTTTTAACCGTTGACGTAACATGTTTAAAAATACGGTTTTATTACCACATGCTTGAAAGAACCAGACATCACCAAATCCTAATCTAAAAATAACAGTTGTAAGTTTCGTTACTCAATTTACGTGGCCTTGTTCATCGTACAAGCGCAACATATTGTAGCATGTTTTGGGTAAGCGGGATTCCTGCATATTTAAGAGAGACAGCCAATATTTGACACATTTCAAAACAGCAAGCAACTGGATAGAGTATCTACCACACTCGTCTAACACCCCATTATTTGAAGTTGAACTTTTTCTAGTGCCTCTATGTCACTGAACCCCCAAATTTCGGCCCCGTATAAAAGTATTGGTGTTATCTTTGCATCAAATAATTTGAAGTAAAAGTGAGGCGAGTATGGTTTTAAGGAATGTATACTACTTAAAAGGAACACCTTTCTTGCCTGAATTGCAATATTACTTAAAGCGTTCGACCACAGTAATCTATTGCTAAAATACAAACCAAGATAACTGTATCCAGTAACTACTTCAACCGCATTTCCATCATAATACCATTTTTTATAACGTGATAAACCTCCCCCATTTTTAAATACAACTATTTTTGTTTTTGATAAATTCACTGACATTTCCCATTTACAACAGTAATCATGCAAGATATTTAACTTCATTTGTAGGTTGTTGACAGTATTGCCAAACACAATAAGATCATCCGCAAATAGAATTTGAAAAATATGAATACATTCCGGATGTAACTGAACACCAAAACGACAATTTTGTTCCATTTCTGTAACCAATTCATTTATAATAAACTGAAACAAAAAAGGACTAAGCATACACCCTTGCCTCACACCCATGAAGCAATCAAATGTACCAGATACACTGTTGTTTGAAAGAACACACGCTTTTACATTACTGTAGATGGATTGTAACATTTTACCCATTTTAGAACTCAAACCATGTTTGTACAATAGCTTCCATAGAAGATGACGCTGAATGGAGATGGAGTCGAATGCTTTAGAGAAATCAATAAATGCTGCATAAAATTTACCACCTTTACGTGAAAGATAACGCTGAATTTAAAACAAAACAGTTATCAATAGTTGAATAACCTTTTCGAAACCCTGACTGACATTCGGATGTTTTGTCAAGTGTTGCAGCCCAATACACTAGTCTTCTGTTTAAAATAGATGTAAAAACTTTACTGAGGTTACTCAGGAGGATTATTGCTCTATAGTTATAAGAAACAGAGGCGTCTCCTTTGTGGGATAATTACCCCCGTTGCCCAACTTTCAGGAAAAACACCGTTTTGATAAATGCTGTTAAATATGATTTCTAAATAAGGTATTATAACAGCGGACGAATATTTTAGATATTCACTAAGAATGTCGTCAAGATCAGCTGTTTTATTACTTTTCAGGGCACTGACTACCTGAAACAGAGTGCAGAGACTCGAGGACTTCAACTTTCTCCTGATGTGTTCCAGTTGGACTTTGAACGTGCGTCTCACAATGCAGCTGGTGTTGTGTTTCCAAATGCTCAGCTACGTGGGTGCTTCTTTCACTACACCCAGTGCATCTGGCGTCGCACACAGAAGCTAGGCCTTGCGACAGACAACAAGTCAGACGACAGTGTGAAAAAACTAGTGCGACGAGCTGCTGCTTTACCTTTAGTGCCACTTGACAAAGTTGAATATGTCTGGCTTGATACCATTGCAGACGCACCACAAGATGACAGGGCTACACAGCTGATGGACTAGTCACTACCACCTGGATAGAAGGTGCATGGAACCTGCCAACTTGGAATCATTTCGAGAATGATGGACAAGAACCAACAATAATTTGGAAGGTTGGCACAACAGACTGCACAGGTATGCCATGAAGAAACATCCGAATGTGTTTGAGGTTGTGCGATTGCTGCAGAAAGAACAATCAGTCACTGAAGTAAAAATTCAGCAGATCCAAGGACAGCAGAGAAATCCAATCCGTAGACGTCGCTACCGCATCATCGATGCTCGGATTCGATCCCTGAAGGCCGATCTTCTTGCTGATAGACTTACCGAGTTAAACTACACAGACCATGTGTCAGAGCTGCTGCATCTTGGCTAATTTGGCTAAATATTCAAATGGATGGACTTTATGAATGGACTTTATGAATGATCCATTTCTCAAATTTTACTTTTGTGTGTGATATTGTATGAAAATATGTTGGCCATATGATATATCTGCATGTTGTTATATTGACAGAATAAATTAATATAATGTGTACTACATATCTCGCACTCTGTTGTTAATTGCTTTGTTAATCTCGGGAACACCGTGAAATCACTCATGTGTGACATCATCTCCATTTCCTGGACTGTCGACACATATTTGGACTGATTATTTTGCTATTGTCGACAGTCCGTGCATGATCCAAATGGACACAGGGCAAACGGGAGGCCGGGGTAATTAACACTGATAGGTGAAAGAATGGACATAGCAAAGGGCAAATTGAAGCCAGCTTGGTAATTAGCCCCGAAGAGATCAAAGCAATAAGTCCCAATCACTAGGCAGATAGGTTCCCTGGTCACGGTTCATGGCTGACTGGTGTCTCCTGATGTCAATGGCTTCCTGTAGTTTTCTTTGTCGCCAGTTGTTGTTGCTGGTAGACAGGACTTTTGGTGGCTTCTCACATGATGTTATGGTTTTGGTTCTTCAGGATCTGTTCGGAAATAGCGGATTTCAGGTCGAGTTTCTTAACAGAGGTCTGATGTTCTTTGAGTCTAGTGTTAAGGGGTTCTAAGGGTTTCTCCAATGTAGCGGTGGCCACAGTTGCAGGGTATCTGATATATACACCCTCGGGGGTTGGGACTTACGCTGCTTGTGCCTCTGCCATTCGCTCGTAGATGGGTCTTAATGGACTTGCCGCTAGAGAAGGTGACATCTATGTTGGCTTTGTTTTTTTGTTGAGGCGGGAAATTCCAAGATAAAACAAGCCATCATCGCCACCCTCACCCGACGTGCCAAATCCATTCGCCACCCTGATGCCCTCAGCAGTGAACTGGGCCATCTCACGGAAACCTTCACCTTCCTCAACAGCTATCCTGCCCACCTAGTCTCCAAAACCATCCGCAAGACCCTCAAGAACTCCGACCCCAGGTCAAAACCAGTCCCATCGCCCATCAGAATCACCATACCCTACCCCGTCACTCATCAGATTTCCCGCCTCATCAAGAATAAAGCCAATCTGTTGAGATTGGATTTTTATCAAAAACCCAGACATTGATATGTATAACTATAAAAACGTAAACAACCCAAACGCCAGAGAAAAATATTAAAATTCATAGATGAACAATCCTTTTTTAACCCTTGGAGAGATATGAATCCAGACGAGAGACGGTATACGTTGAGACAAACCAAAACCCATAAAACAAGCCAGATCAGATTACTTCTTGTTGTCAAGAGACCTTGACATTTCCGTAGATAAAGTTGGTATAGACCCTGCTTCTAGAACAGATCACTCTATACATTGGATTTCGTTAAAACTTAATAGTATCGAGGAAGGAAGAGGCTATTAGAAGTTTAATAATTCCCTACTAAACGACAAAACTTTTGTTGAAAAATCTAAAGAAGTAATTTATATTACAATAGAGCAATATAAAACAGCTGTCGATGAACAAGGCAATGACAGATTTAATATAGACGACCAACTTTTATCGAAACACTAATGTTGAAAGGTCAAACTATAAAATACTCCTCGGAAAGGAAACGAAAGCGAGAACAGAAACAAAACGACTTACAAAAACATCGATGAATTGCAAATAAATCTAGGGGCAAATCAATCTAGATACCTCAAAGGAGATAGAAATTAAAAAATGAAATACTATAGAAACCTAAG